TCTGTCTTGCATTTTGTAGAGCTGGCTTGCTAGCTCCATTCTTGACGCAGGCTTTACTGTTTGAATAGGCCAACTGAACAGGGTCAGTCTCCTGGAAGTTTAATAATGGGCTTAAAGCCTTTATAACGTTTGAAAGACAAATCGTAAAAGAAAGGAAAAAAAAAGGTAATGGCAGGGTTATCAGTGTGTGGCATTTTGCATGAAGAATCCGGTTAATACACCCTGTTTCAACATGATTCAACTAATGTGAACCTATACAGTGCTAGACTTACTATTCGATGAGATCATTAATATTCCTATGCAAAAGGCTAAGACATCTTTGAACCCAAATGTTTTATATTATATGCATGTGCATGTTTGTGTGGGTGAATACTTTTTTAGCAGATATTAATAAGTCTGTGTTATTGTTTTGTGATGGACAAAAACGTTTATATTCTTAAAATTGAAAAGTTGCTTAGGTTGCCATCTTTGTATTAGTGGTCACATTCTCCAATTGCTTAGCTCAGTAACTTGGGAATTAGTATAACATATGGCTCAATGCACTCAAAATTGATCATTGGTGATGTACACGGATGACCATTGTAGTCCCACATTCATGTGCATGAAACCAATCACATTCGCCAATGAAAACGATGTGAGATTTAGATTATATCATGCAGAGTTTTCCTTTAAACTTCCCATGTGCAAATGATTGTTGAAGTTGATGTCATGCAAAACTGTCAATGATTAAGGGATGCTTTCTTTCTTTCTTTCTTTCTTTCTTTCTTCACCGGTACCATTTCCATACGCATCGAAAGAGTGAAATTGCTGATGTATTGGGTCATCAAATAGCTTCACACTTTTGAGTTCCATCTTGCATTGCAGGAAAAAAAAGGGTTGATTTGAAGGATTCGAACACCTCAGCAGAAGGAAAGGGTATGATCCTGTTTTGTCAGTAATTAGTACATTTCTGCAACCTATCTCTTCGTTCACATTTGCATGCGAGCTACTGTTTGTGTCATGTATTTCACTAGTCAAAATTACTAAAGTTGCCAATAACCACAACTTTTTCGAGTTAATTTGAAAAGAAAAGACCAAAAAGATGTATGTGCAGCTAATCAGATCAACCTTGTTTACTTTAAGGATTAGGTTTTAACTTGCCATCTTTATGTTACTTGGCAAAGAGCAAAGCATAATATTTTCCAACTATATATGCTGAAGAATGAAGAAGCTTTAAGGACATATAGCTTGCTTTAATTTAAGGATTTTGCTAACAAGTGTCGTAAATAGTACCTTAATGAGAACTTGTGAAGTTACATGTTTTAATCTTAGAGGTTGGAATAAAACTTTGCATAAAGAAAGGAATATGGAAAAGTAAAAGATATTGCCATGATCTCCGGGACCCATGAATGGGTATAATGCAGAAACAATTACCCATAATTTCCTACCTAGAGAAAAGGTGAGCAATCATAATCACCGAGGACTAGTATCACAAATTCATGGCAAGACTCGAAGTTAGTGTCAGAAGCTGAGATTGTAACAGATGACTATCATGCAATTGCAGAATCTTAAAGTTGAGTACATGTTCGAGAATGGTAAGACTTCCAGTTCTGACTTTGCACCCCACGCATGATTTAAAAATGTGCCAAACCAAAGTAAAAAATCTGTCAAAGCTGGGGATTTCGTGTGGATATGTTGAGAAACATTAGTTTACTCTACTGTTTTCTTTTTGCTGGCTCTGTGTTGAATCCCTTATTCTAAACTTCTGTTCCTTTCTTCCATTTTCTGCCCAATTCTTGGCAGGTTGGTACATGGTACTATTTCGTGACAAGTTTCCCTTCTTTCTTTATGATGAATAAAGATATTAATCATCCAAAAATAAAAAATAAAAAATAAAAAGAATTCTTATAAAATCACATGGGATGATAAAATATTTAGTTTGAAAATTTCTACATTTCCTTCAAAATATTCATGGCTCCAGTTGAAACAGGATCCTGATCTTGATACAAGTTGAATCCAGCCACCAGGATTATAGCCTTATATATATAAGTCTGCTTAGATTATATGAATCTGGGGTTGGTGAACTTTCTCTTTTTTTTTTTGTTTACAAGATTACAAGCATTAGAACTCAAATTATATTTGGGACTTCGACCTTGGACTAACCAAGTAGGTGTGGTGTTAATTAGTAGCGTATGGCTTACAATCCAGCCATTTTTATAGAAGAATGATGTGGATCTTGCTATTAAAATAACTGAGAGATTCTGGCCTAGTGGTTGTTAATTATATTTTGGGAGCTTTAGAAAGTCATCGGTCGCCGTAGGTGATAGTATTTATTAAAACAGGAGGAGCAATGAAATTTCTCCCAACTGCTACAGAAAAACCAGAGGGGAAACAGAAATTCAAAACAGGACAGGGCACGGAAAGTTAAAAACTGTTGAATTACATGGAGCTTTCTCTGATTGTGACAAGTGATTCTGAGGGAATATATTAAAGGAAAGGTGATGTATTCCAATCTTCCAATGTCATTGATTTTATCCTTTTGTAACAGATTAAAGTTGGCCCGGAGAGGTGTTTTCCTCCACTGTTACCTCTCCTCTTTGCTTTATGTCACTGTGTTCCATAGATTCTCTTAACACCTGTTAATGTCAGGAGATAAACACTACAATCTTACCTTGTACTACTTTACAATTCATTGGCAGATGTTGGCTTAACTAACATGTGATAGTAGGGCAACTAATACTTTTTTGTTCCATTTTATCAATAGCTGTTTTTTGCTTTTGTTAGGGAGCATGTCGCGAGTTTATCTCTAAATCTTTGTTGTTTTTGAGATACAAATCTTGATCAGTTCCTGATGTATGTACTTAACTGCTTATACAATACCGAACTTGAACATGTGCACAAATGTTTAACGTGACAGCTAGCTGCAGTGTTCCAAAGGATGCCTTTCGCATCGCATCTCAGTTAGTTATTTACGGATTAGATTCCCCAGAAGAAATAATTGAGGTTCAGATAAATGACAAGGGAGTTCCCCCTGTCCTGTAAGTTGTTACTCTGACAACAAACGGAGAACATTAAATTATTTACAGGAAGGGGAAGGGGGGTTAGTTTTTACTTTGCAAATCAAACACATTGGATCCTTATGTTGCAGAGATACCAAGCTGATGAATTGCTATAATATGTGAGGCAGTAGCTATTACAATTCTGGGAAATTCTTAGACTGCCTGTGTGCTGAAAAGCACTAGTCGTTAATGGATTCCCAGAATCCGTGCATATCTAGCATTTGAGTGATAAATTATCTACAAATTAAAGAGTAATTTAGTCCCAACTCCTTCAACAGCTGTCAAAGAAATTATAGAAACATGGTTGTCCATTCCATCACCAGCAAAGCAAACTTACAAGTCTCATTCGGGTGCAATTCCGACGGTACAAGTCATCGCCTTTCCCTTCAGATTTTAGGAGCAAGTCACAAGTAAGGTTAAATACCAATAGCGGTTGGACACAGACGACTTGAGAAGTGTTTGGAAATTAAAATAGTTAAAATCTGGTTCTTTCAGGAAAATGACCACTATATTTGGTTCAATTTCGTAAGGTGTACGGTCTTTTTCTATGATAATTACTGGTCAATCTACCTCTTTTTCCACAATAAGTCTATAAAACTTTGGTGGGTATAGCTCAGTTTTGATTTCATTGTCTAGGATCATCTTCAGGAAAATGCCAATGTTTTTGTTCTCTAGTTCAGCCAGTCAAAAGCTCTTATCTATCTCTCCATGTATGTATTGTCAATTCAATTTTTTGCCCAAAGTCAACAACAACTCCCCCATATTATACATTTTTGGTTCCCAATATCAGTTTCAGTAAAAGCGAGACTTTCCAATGTTAAATGAGAATTATTTGGCGTGAAGTGAAAAAGTCTGATGCCGAAATCATGCAAACACAGAAGAAAAAAACTAATCAAGAGTTGTTATCCTACTTTCTGTGCTTTGGGTCAGCTGAATCATTAGTGGAAAATGCCAATGCTGTTATTTGTATTATCCAACATGGCCAAATAAGTGCTTCCAAGATAAGTGAACACTGAAGACAAAAAGATTTTTAAACCCAGAATATGTACAAAGAGATGAGCAGACTTCTTAAAGATCTGAGCTAGCGAGTAAACGTTTGATTGCAGACTAATCTATTCGAGCTCCGGCACTGATAAGAGGTAGATTATATTATTCCTTGGAGTGGTAATTTTGGCTGATATTAAGCCTTAATAGCCGTTCTCGAGTTGCTTATACCTGTTTTAAAAGATTTGCTAGTGTTAAAGCAACCATAGACGTCATCCCAAAGTTACTTTACCTCTCTCGGGTTAACGCCAAATTGGCCCCAGTATACAGTTTTAAATAGTGGGAAAGGTCCCAAATTTTCAAAATATGTAAGCGGGTCTTGTGGGGTGAAAAACCTTGAGATTTGCTTGCCACAAAAATCCAAAAAATTCCCTGCATGGCCTAAGATTCCAGGCCTTATCATGAGTTATGAAGCAAATGAAAGATTCATGTTAAAGCAGCAGAGAGACACAGTTGGACCATTCAGATAACTTAGGCTTAAACGTGCAGTTAATTTTATATTGGACTGTAATTGTGATCTTACTATTATGATACAATACAGTCTAGTTAATTAAAAGAGTACTCTGTTTTTCCTTTTTCTTTATTGTTATTTGGAAAGGGTTGTTTACTTTGGTTCTAAGCATGGTTTTGAACAGAGTGAGCCTCTGCCAGTTCTGGTAATTTATTTCAAGAAAAAGAGTGATTTATCACTTATCAGGCACATTGGTTGCTGCGACCAAATAAGGTCATATTGTTTATGTTCAAGTCTTTGTCAAGTTCTAAATCCATAGAAAAGGAAAAAGGTAAGGAGTACTCCCAAATCTGCAAAGTAGATGGCAATGCTTTAAATAACTCAAAAGTCAAGTGGCATTTTGGTAATCAAGACCCTTTATAACTCCATTTGAGCATGGTTCCGGATTCCCATATACCAAACAAATAAAAAATGGTTGGCCCCTCCTACCTAAAAACCTTGCTCCCCCTTCAAGCCTTCTCATTGAAATCACCATCTTCTACCCTAAACTCCATGAAGATCAAAACTCTTATCCACACCCTCATCTATGCTCAAGTTTGTCGTCTCATTCGAGCATTTTCCAAAGCAAAATCCATTGCCATGCAAATTTATAAAGAAAGCAAGCCTATACATTTCATTTCCAACTCAAAGACCACAAAAACGAACTACAAGCATAAGAAGCTATTCTTTGGTTCATTTCGGCTACACTACAATTGGTGCTCTTCTCATGTTACACCAGTTCCAGCTCCAGTTCTAGAAGGCTGTACGGCAACTCATTTGTACTATGATTCAACATGGAACTCTGTTATTTCAACTGAGCAATGTGATGATCAGGATACTGTGGAGTCTGAGCTTTCAGGTTACCTTCAATGGCTAGAAGAGAAGAAGGTTAATGGTAATTCTACTGCTGAGACAGATATCAATGAGATTGATAGGCTAGCAGAAATGTTTATAGCTGATTGTCATGAAAAGTTTAGGTTGGAGAAGCAGGAGTCTTACAGGAGATTCCAGGAAATGCTGGCTAGAAGCATGTGAAGGTTTTTCTTAATTATTAGCTAATCTTTCTTCTTCTTCTTTTTTAATTTTGCTTTCCCAAGCTTCTGTATGTCACATACATTGGTGGGGGTGAGAAAGTGTAGTCATTGAGAGACTGGAGGGCCTTTTTCTTTCTTTCTTTTGTTCTTTTTCCCTTGTAACTTTTCTTCCCTTATTTTGTGTATGGAGAATTGTACATGACAGAGTGTGGGGTATTTGTGCAATTCTTCTCTTAAATTTGTGATGGTTTGGTTTCCACTTGCAAGGTTATATATGATTGGTGGGAGTGGATCTGCTTCTGAAGTCCTTGGATTCAAATTGTGGGAATTCCTCACTTTCTTTCTCTTAAGTATATTAAAAACATCTTTAGGGGATGGGGAAGACAAAATGTTAAAGAAAACATTAATCATGAATTTTTTTCCAGAATTGTATGCTTTCCTCCCTTATTTAGAAGCAGCTGGTAGATGAATGTTCTATTCGATCAGGTAGAAGAAACAGAGTAGCTATGGATAGGTTTCAGGGCCAAAAAGTCTTAACCAGTAGGTTTTTTTATTATAAACATATGATGGAAAGTTCTGTGTAGATGCTAATCCACTTTCACTAGTATATCATGTTAATTATGGATCAGTAACTTAATCATATGTCAAAGTTACCAGGCTGTTGCACTTCTACCAATGTAAGTAAGCCATTTTTCCAAGCCAATATATTTTTTTGGCTAATTTATTAGAAGAAATTTGAACACCTTAAAGCAATTAATTAACCACGATTCCAGTCACCCAAGCCTCCAATTATTAAGTTCACCATATTGTTCTGGAAAGTGTACTAGATTCAAGTTTTCCTAGTTATGAAAACTAGGTTTTCCAACTACGATCTCATGCTGATTGCATAGACCAGTAGTACATAGGCCTTTATTGACTTATAATACTATTAAGGATCGTCATCTCGTTATTTGTGCTAATCATTTTGTTTATCTATAAACGAAGTCTGCACCGATCAAAGGAGCTGCTAGGCCAAGTCAATCTTCATCTCACCTTACAAAGAAGTTGTCACAAATATTATTGTTCAAGTTATAAAAAAGAAAAGAAGGCTTACCATGCTTGGCTGGAGAGTAAAAACATAATTGAAGATAGATGATGAAGATCAAATTAGACACTATACTATACTCACTAAACTTTCGTTCACATCGATCCTCCTCAACTTGCATTTTGAAATGGTACGTTCTTTCCAATTCTGAATTTTATAAAAATCATTCTAAATTTTATGTGAAGTTTTGAAAATTCGGAAGAAAAAGTTTTTGATTTTAAAGATAAGAAAGTGAAAGTGATTGAAAAAGGTCTTCCCCCCCAAGAATTAACACTATTATAACTCCTTTAATCTTTCCAATGTCTATATGCCAGATAGTGTTCCTTATTGTGATTACTTTACACCTGATTTTTACGAAGTCATAGCAATTCCAGGATCTTCTCTTCCAAAACCATAACATGAATGAAGAACCCCGAAAGAAAGGAAAGGTATAAAGGAAAACATTTTGTTGAACCTATTCCAATTCAGAAAAGGGAGATCTTGATGAATCTCATATGATCAAAGGCACATGTACATGGCCTTGGCATGAAGCTTGTGACATAAGGTACCAATTGACATGATCAAAGATACACATCCTCTGTACCTTGACTTCGATCAAAGACATGAGGGAGTTCCTTTATGAAAAACTTGCTGTTAGTACTTTGTCTATGGTCCAATTAGGAATTCAAAGCTGCAAGTTAACAAACTCTAGATATATGACTCAAATCTAAATGGAATTGAATAACTGAACACTCAGATAAAAGTTCCAAAATGCTGAAACTGGGGGATGAGAATGGACAGGTTCGTTTCATAAATAATGTGCATGCATTAGAGAGTGAGCCATTGAGAAGTATGTAACTATGTATATGTATTGGGCTGGTTATATATTGGACTCTGAACAGGGAGTTGAAACAAGTAAGCCAAGAAGAGCTCAAGAGGAGTCAAGCACACTTTTGTCTACAGAATGCTTCTTAGTACTGTAAAAGACAGAGGCAAAGCATCGATGAGATGGTTCTTTTATCTCCTGGTGTGCTTCTTTATTCCAAGACTTCCTTTGTCGCTTTTACATGTAATTGGAAGAGAGAGAAGAAGGGAGGGAAATACCTTTAGCAGAGTCATATTGGTTCCTTTGGTCTCTTTGTTTCCTGATGTTTGGACTGACTTTACAAAGAAAAGTGGATGCTGAAGCACTTGTTGGATTTTATTCTTGGTAGGATAAGTTAGAGGAGTTGTAATTCTCTACATGGCATTTGACTCAAAAGTTATGTCCTTGGTTTTGTGGCTTTCGATTTTCAAAATGGAATGACAAAGTTACAGAATCAAGGAATGAATTCCCTTTTCCTACTTTCAACTTATAATAATTGTTTATGTATAGTCATCACAAGTTCTCTCCTATCCACACCATAAAATTGCACCTATTAATTATTTATCGAATAAGTGTAGAAGGTTCTGAAAGCAACAACTACTTAATAGAATTTGAGAATAATTCTAATTTTGAAATCAAAATCTTATGTAAAAGAAATAATTTAAATATGACCTCAAGTTAATTGATAGTCTAATCAAGTTTGCAATATGTGTACAACCTTTATACTTTAAAACATTCTCAAAATTTTTACTTTTAAAAATCAATAATAATAACAAGTGAATTTGAATCAAGTTATTTTGAATTTAAATCATTTTAAATTTCAATCATTTCGAATTTAAATTCAAATTAATCGATAATTAATTTTATATTTTTAATGTTTAAGTTCGAATTTATAACTTTAAGTCAATTCATCTTAAATTTTAAATCATTGTGAATGTTTTTAAAATAGAATCATTTAGAGCTCAAGTGTTATATTTTGAATTTATAGCTCTTAAACTTTGAGTCCTTAATTCTTTTATCAATTTAAATTTAGTTAAATTTGGTCAAAAAAAGTTAAATTTTATCGATTTAAATTTAATTAAATTTGAGTTCAGTTTAAAACATGTAGAAAGAAAGTTAAAAAAAGGGGGGGCAAATTTCACATTTGAAATTTTGTTTGGGCATTTAAAAACCCAACGCACTAACACTTTTGTAGATTTTCAAGATGGCTTATAATTTGTCTGCTCTCACAGGAAATGGGCCTGCCATGCTTTTGGATAAGCAGATCTTCTTGTTTGTTGACTAATTCAACTGTCTACAGTTGGGATTCTTTTGTGTTTCTTGTTCTCATACTCCAAAATGGATTCCAACAACTTATCAACACTTGATGAGTTCCAATCTCCTCTTTTGTAACTTAAAATTAAATATTCTTTTGTATTTATTTTATCATTGATCCTGAAAATAAATGGATTTTGAAAAACATTTTTTAATAAATTATTTATGTGGTCTCTAAAATTCACATATCATTTTTAATTTTTATGGTTTAAAAAGCAATTTGATAAGAACATTATATCCAAATGGTCCTTCTGTCAATATTTTTTGTTAAATCTAAAGTTAAGTGTCAATTGGTGACATGTACGTAACACATGAAAAACACTTATCACTAATGTGTACAAAAATTGGGTTATGTGGATTTTTGTTTTCATTCCCTCTCATTTTTCTTTTTTTTAAAAAATTTTTTTCTTCTTTTCTTTCTCTTTTTTCCCCTTCCTCTCCTCTGGCGGCCGCAACCTAGCCGGCGACAACAAAGGTAGGGACCGTGCAACGTCGATCGGGTCAAATTCAACCCTCTGCCATTGCCGGCTAATCCCTGGTCAATAGGGAAGAGAGAGAAGAAAGAGGGAAAAAAGGAAAAAGGGTAAATGAAAAGATTAAATATAGAAAAAGGAGATATAAAATAAAAAAATTAATAAACAAAAGAAGGAAAAAAAATTTGGACGATTTTTTTAAATTTTTTACATATATTTTAATTTAATAAATAAATTTTATATATTACAGTTTACCATAAGTATTTTTTATTTTTACTTCTTTCAATATAATATGAACTTTTTAAATTAAATTAATGTTTTTCCAAAACATTTTGCAATTCCAAGACAAAGGCCTTTCCTTGATCCATAGCTGGACAGACGGGCTTCGCTCATCACTGCTATGGGTTTAATGAGTGATTACTTCAATCCTTCTTTAATTCAGATCTCAATTGGGCTTCGGCCTTCCTTTTCAAAGAATAACGAAGCTTTTGTTGGCTCGTTAGCTATAATCCTCTTCCTTTTCTTTTCTTTCTTTTTTTTTTGTTGGATTTGCCATAATCTTCTATTTACTCTGCTGATAAGGTTAAGCTTTTTATATTTTGACTACACAGATGCATAATTCTGGTTCACATTTTCAAAATTAATTCTCAAAGAGAGTGTTGCCATTTTTTTTTATTTTTTTCTGCTTCAAGTTACAACTTACAATCATGAATTACTAATATAATAATAATAAAATAACAATTTTTAATTGAAAGATAAAAAAAAAAGGAAAAAAGATAAGGTTAAAATTATAGATAAAATTATTAATTTAAATTGAATGAATGTTTTCTCTCGCATCCATAAGAATTTGATTTTGAGAGAAAGAAAAGTTAAAATCCATTCATTTTCCTTTCCTCCTCCTATTTGTCTTCTACCAAAGGGAGGAAATAATTTAGTTTTCCTTCCACCCTCTGTCATTCCTTACTCTTTCTCAACTGCCAAACAAAGTATAAAAGTAACAATCGAATCACAATCTTTTCTTAACCTAATCATAAGAATCTTAATTATCTGATGATTATATTTAATATTAACATTTTTTAAAAAAAATCAAAGAAATAAAATTATATATATATGTGATATTTATTGAGCTGAACCATTGTTTGTAGAGTTTTTAAACTTCATAAATGAAATTAAAATATTATCAATGTTCTTCCATTTACCATATTAATTTATTTTTTTTATATATATTTTAACGAAGTATGAAATTACTTTCATTTTGTTCATAAAATTTATATATTTTATGGACGATGAATAAAATAATAATGTTATTGAATTATATGATAAAACAAGGAACTCAAAATCAAACAGGTATAGCAGAAGAGACAGACGAATCTTGCCAAATACATTATATACCTAAAATGACTTGAACCGATGATAATAATGCAGTTATGCGGCGATGAATGCATTATCTCATTCACATATTGTCGTGTATGCTACCTTTTGGGTTGTAAAGAGTAGTTTGTACCTAAAAGGTGGACGGGAAAACAATCCGACACCCTACAAGCTGAGAACCCAACGTGCGTTTCTTCACTTTCCATCTAATTCTTGGG